AGGTTTGGGGGGTTTTTGTTATCTGAGTTTGCATAAAATTATCACATCAACACACTCAAGAATTAACAACAACAAAAGAAAAGATGTGGCTGGACTTGCTCAACATATTTTCACTTATGCACTTCAGGACAAAAGGCTAATTTTCACACCTAAACGTGCCTAAAGTCAGCTCATGCGCGAAGTCAGCTGAACTGCTTGGCACAAGTTTGAAAGGTCAGACGAGTTGAGAAGTTTGGTGCAAAAGGCAGAGGAAGTGATTGTTGCAAAGGCGACATGAGCTTTATAGTCGGTGGGGCCCTAATCAGTCGGTGTGAGACAAAACGAAACCAGGGACTGAGAAGTATTGAACGCCACAAGTGGTGGAGATCTCAGAAATAAATAAGCCGATAAATTAGTTTTTGATGTCAGATTCATAGCAAAAGTATTCTGTACATTCCAGCCATTTTATAGCACAATCTATGTTCTGGGAGATGTAGGCAGAGGAAAGGCTTTAGTTGCTCGACCTCTTAAGGGAAGCTAAGAAAGATTGGTGGAATCAACCAACTCACTCTCTTTGGTAACCTAGCAACGCACTCCTTCTTTGGTTACTTAGCAACAACCCGCTGAGTGGCGCAGCAGCAGTTCAAGATTTTGTCACTATGCCTCATCAAAAGAGTGAAAACTGTGACTAAAACAGGAAAAGGTCATGCCATCAGTTTGGCTGCATTTCAGATATTCAAAACAATAAACTAATCAATAATTATCGATATCGACCGATACGAAACGCTTATGTTGTGACGTGTTTGAGCCGTATTGTCCAACCCTACAATCCTGTATCAATTGTTTGCTACCTTCAGTTGCTGTATACATCAAACCTGACTTAAAAGAAGTTTGTCTTTGTAATTTGTAATCGTGAAATTGGGCCTCTGTCTCTTTAAGAAGCTCCCTTTTGTTTGAATGAATAAAGTCCCTCATGTTTGTGGTCACATAACTGCTTCAACTGATAAGTTCAACAATAAGTGGCAAGAAATTATGTTGTTTCTTTGAATAAATAAAAAGATTTTTTGAAACCATTTTCTGAAAATGTCTGTTTTGTTTGTTTTTTTAATGGTCGAAGCAGCTGGTTCAGTTTGCTCTTCGTTATTTAACAAGTCTGGACAAGAACAGAAAAACATTCAATTTCCAGGTCGTATTTCTTAATACGTTGCCTAAAAATCAGAATTTGTAACAAAATAAAATAAATAAATGAATAAAATAAAACAATTATTTATATTTAAATTATATACAGCATCTTTGTTCAACTTCATAGAACATTTGGCGGCACATAGTCCGGAAATACATCATAAATTAGATTTGTTCTGTTTTTTTAGTCTCCATGCCCTCTTAGTTCAGTCAGGCTTTTAATAAAGTTTATTTGTTTATTTATACAACTAAATTAAAGCTACCACAACCCACAAACTGTGCTTTAAATAATCTGCGTTTAGTGTCAAATAATCCAGTCCAGATTTGAAAAATATCCAAATGTTACTGCTTTTAAAAATGAGCCCAGCTGTAAATATTTGAGATAAGTTATTTGCGCTCAAGTGTGCAGAACTTTACAAAAACCGCAAGGAAAACAAAACAGAAATCCGAACATGGAACTTTATTACAAGTTTTCATGCTCCTTTTATTTTTCACATCTCAACCTCAAGCTGCCGGGATTTTATTTGGCAAAGTACTGCATAACTGTGACGTAAAGGGAGAAGCACGCCTTGTTTGAACAAAGAAAATTCTGAAAAGTGTGGCATGCATTTGTAATCAGCAGACTTTACTCTAATGCCCCTAAAAACAAAGCAGCACAGCCAGTTGCATTCAGCAGTTGGAATAGAAGAAGTTGACTTCTGTGTAATCTAAGGACAACATTATCGAGCCTCTTGAAGCAGCCATGAGGTTCATGCTGCAGAGATCCACAGCTCAGGAGACATGGTGGTGGCAGCATCATGCTGTGGTTTTTACCGAGAAACTGGTAAAAATGGATGAGAAAGTGGACCTAGACACAGAATAATCCTTGAAGGAAACCCGTTAGATGCAGAAGCTTTGAGACTAAACAGCTAAAGCGTCAATGGATGCATAAGTGTTACACTGGCCTAGTCAAAGTTCAGACCTAAAACATAATAAGAATCTGTTCCGAAGAGACAAAATTGGCTAAATGCATGTAGAGATTATTGATTTGGGAGGGTGTGAATACAAATGTGCTATTTTTAAAGTTTTATTTGTAAAACTAAACGTAAACTTTGCATCGGCTTGTTGGATTCTCTCGGTATGAACGCTTTTTCAAGCCACTGTACAATAATGAACATTTGAGCTACCTGCTGAACATAAAGCAGTAAAACTGCATCAGTAAAACAATAAATATCGTTCTTTAGCAGACGACTCAGTTGAGGTAGAACTGCTATCAAAACTGAAGTTGGAATCATATCATTGGCACTTTATGGTGGTTTTACAACCCTAATTTGCAAAAAAAAAAAAAAAGTCTCCATACTGAAACGCACAGGACCTGTAAACGTGTAAACAGCTTGTTAGTCGTTCCAAGAGGAAGTGTTGACGCAAATGAAAGAATAAAAAGCACACAGTCCCCCTTTTACCCAACACTCCTTTTTCCTCAGTTGATGAGTTCAAAGATAGTTTAATGAGAAAAACAGAAGCTCTTTTTACTTTCTGTTTTTCTTCCCTCTCTCTGACTGAGAGAAGCAGAGATGTAATCAGTTACTTTTCCAGAGCTGGAAGTACTCTAGCAGCAGGTGAGGGAGAGAAAAAGGGCAGAAAGGAAGAGAAAAAGAGAGAGAGAGGGCAGTAAGTGGAACAGCCTGTACCTGTTTGTGAGCCAAGACGACACAGACAGGTTCATCCATCCAGACAGCATTCATCACATTAAATCAGGGATCTAAAACTTTGTTTTCCTTCGTATTCGTCTTCCTGACGGCATCACTCTGCAGTTAAAATGCACAGCAGGTCCAACATGGCAAACCAGCCACCATTATCTGTCGCCTCAGCAACCAAACAACACAATTAGAGGCAGAGAAGGAAGGAAGAAAAGTAAGAAAGAACGTCTTTGTTTGGGTCTTTTTTCCTTCTTTTTTTTTTTTTTTTGGAGGCTACGCTTTTACGGTGTGATTAAGTGGTTGGAAACAGACTGAAACAACAAAAACAGAGCAGAGGAAGAGAAGTGAAGGATGAGGTCAGACTGTTTTTACTGTCCCGGTCGCTCCGGCACAGAAAAGTCCTTTTTAAACACGAATAACAGATTCTGATTGGACCAGAACCGCCGAGGGGAAGAAATTACGACCAGTTTAATGACTCGGTTTAGAGAAGCAAAAGAAGAAAAAAAAAAAACAGTTTAGAGACACTTTTATTATCAGATACATTTACAGACAGCACAGCTGTTTGTGACACGTATACACACAGACCGACACATTGCTGGGGATCGATTAGTTTCATATTTAGTTAATCTATCGACAGACACATTCAGGATTCTTGTGCAGAAAGTTGCCGTTGGGTCCATGCATGTTTTGGTAATTGGATTATCTCACCATAAATAAAAAAAAGTGGATATTTTATATTTTACTAAATAAAATAAAAAAATTAGATTAAAATTTGAGGTTTAGAAGCAAGCAAAAATTTAATTTATAGATTTTTAGTATAAAAATATATGTTTTTTTTCATGTTTTAAAATAGTAAAATTTATATACATATATTTCAAGGCAGTGCATTTTATGTTGTTCTGTATATTTTATTTTGTTTTATTCCATAAAATAAAAATTCACAAAAATATAAAATCTGGACAATAAAAAGTATTTTTAAAAATACTTTTATAGCATTTTTTATTGTTATTACTTCTTCATGAACTCATTGGGAAAATCAAAAAAACAAACCTCTTCTCTACACGGCGAGTGACGTCACTGAGTGACGCTTTACTGGATCAAGTTAGGGAGTGGAGAGTGCCAGAATATGACAAAACAGGCCAGTTTATTGTTTCTTATTACCCATAATTTCATGTGTTTATTAATGATAATATATTTAAAAAAATTACATTGTTCCTCTGATGATTCACGGTTCAGTATTTGCTGATTTTTTTGCGAAAGGTGACTCGAAATTACTCACCGAAAACCCGTCCATTTGTAGATCTATTTTCTTAAAATATGAAAAAAAAAAAAAATGCAGCTGGAAAGCTGAAATACTCGGACTCAATGCTAGTTGACACACTATTGGCTGGCGTTCAAAGGCAGCCAATAAAAAAGCTTCATTCATTTTCCTTCATGCTGATTGGTTGTTGCTCAGAGTGGAAATAAGGAAGTCGGTAGACGTCAGCTTCTGCCGTAGTAATAAGATGGTTTCCTCTTTAAGCGTGTCAAGGCATATTTGGTGTTTAAAACGACTAAATTAGGTATTTTTAGAGGGAATCTGAAGTGTTGATGGATTTTAACTGTGGTGGTCCCTAACGGCAAGTTAAACTCACACCGAATGTTTTCATGGGTTTGGATTGTAATACATATTTTAAAAACATTTTAGCGCATGTCGAAAATACTGCCCATTACTTTACACGTGCAACGTTAAAGTAAGATAAATGATATACTTCTGGAGCCCAAGGTGTTTTGTTTTTTACTGATATTAACATGAAAACACATACGTAAAATTCTGAAATTTCCCTGATTATTTTCCAAAATGAAACAAACACAGATAAACAAGAGTGTATAAAATACACACATTCTTTAACATTTAGACAAAGGACAGTCAAAAAGAAGAATAAATAAATGTATTGCATGTGAGATTGATGCTGAAAACACTCAAAAATACCAGACAGGGGCAGTGATGTCAAAATTTCAAAATATGAGAAAGCGAGCAGTGGTCAAGTCTTCTGAATGATTTTAAGTTTTTATCATTTTAAATATGCTTTAAAATGCTTGCAATTCTATTTAATGTTTTATATTATAACCCAGTTGTTGTTGTTTTTTTTGTTTGTTTTTTTTTTTGTTTTTTTTTTTTTTTTCATTACTGGGTTCGGATTAAAATCCAACGAACAAAACATGCAGAGATTCTGACCCATTTTGTGTTTCCAAAACCCGAAGCCGTCCCATTTTCACTCCCCCCGTTTCATTGGGGGAGTCCAGAAACAAAAAAGGGCTTTCCTTTTGTTGACGTCAAAGATCGACTCCTGACCTTCACATTCTGTTTCACATTAAACACAGAAGAGACGCAGTGCAAAAATATGTCTGTCTTTTTCATAAGCACAGCAGGAGTTTGTAGGAAAAGAGGAACCAGGCCACTTTCCTTCTCTCAGCTTGTTAAAGTGAAGACAAATCCATTTGGGTTGTGTGTGTGTGTGTGTGTGTGTGTGTGTGTGTGTGTGTGTGTGTGTGTGTGTGTTCCAGTGAAGTGGCTGGCTCCGGCCGCACTGTGGCTTGGTATGCCAATTATGGCTTTGCCCATGCAAACACGCTCCCTCTCTATGACACGCTCACAGGGTGGCCCAGCAATCACTGCACGCCACATTTCAAATTGCGCCCATAATGTGGTTTTCTCATAGTTGTGAGCTAATCTCCTCCGAACCAGCTGACCGTCTCAGATAATTGTTGCAGTCCGCGCGGATGGAACAAATGTGAAACGAGAAAATCCCGAGGCAGCTGCCCAGCCGCCGTTCTGCTCCGAAGCTTCGCTCCGTTTTTCAGCGAGAGAGAGTAAAGATTTGTTTCTTGGTCCGCGTCTTACAGGAGCGGTCAAATGTCTCCCAAGTTGTCGTAAATTATATCAGGTGCCCGGAGCGGGGCCTGGTGGTTCTTATTACACCACATAGCGGATGGAGGAGGCTTCTGTTTCGACACTCTGCTGTACAGCTCCTTCCCGCCTCCTCCGGAGCTCCACATGTTGTTGTTGTTGTTTACGTTGCTACCGGAAACGCCGTGTTTCCCAGCGGGAAGAGGTACCGGCTCCTTCCGAGCGAAGGCACTCTTGTTGGGCTTTGGAGCGGTGGCAGGTTTGGGGAACTTTGGCGTCGGGGGTTGCGGCGTTCCGCGACTTAGGCCCAGCAGCTTTGGAGAGTGTTTCTGCAGCTCCGTCGGCTTCCCGTGGGAGGCGGTGATGTAGGTGGCGTCCAGTCCTGACGGAGGCCCGAGCTCTTCCTGTCGCCGCTGAGGCTCCAACCGGGCCTCGTCATAAACGGTCATCCCAAGGCTTACGGGAAGGCTGCTGCTTCCTTTGGCGCAGCCTTCTGGCTCGTCATATATGTGGTCCGCAGAGGGCGCAGGAGGGGGTGAAGCCCCTTCCCCATGACCTCCTGGGGGTCTTTTGCTGCTAATCACCCCCTTCCCGGCGCCTCTTCCTCCTCCGGCCGACCCGTTCAGGCTCAGGGCGCCCGTCTTCTGGCTCAGATCCACGGCGATCTGGTCGTACAAATGCGAATACAGGTCAGGAACTTTCTTTTGGTTGCTTCCCGTGTGGTGATGGTCCCCTCCGCAGGAGTCGTCGCCCACAGGTCGAAGGCGTGGCGTTGGCATCGGAGGCGAGGTTTGGTTCTGACCCTTGATGGTGTCCACTGGGTCTGAGTAAAGGCCGTCACAAATGGGAACAAGCAGTCGCACCGAGTCTGCTGGCTCAGAATAAAGACTCGTCTGTTCATCGAGCGGGGCTACAGCTTTCCCTGCCAGTCCTCTGGGTGCTGGGGGTTCTGGTAAGCTCCTCCCTTTGTGTCCTCCCTGCCCTCTTCCGACTCCGTCTCCGCCCTCCCTCTTCCCAAGCACTCCGTCAGCCGAGCCCGGCTTGCTGCCGCCGGAATCGCCGTCCGCTTCCCGACTGCTGCAGCTACTGCTGTCCCCGCTTCCCGCCGCCATGCCGCAGCCGGGAACGCCACTCCGAATGTACTGGAGGGACAAAGGGCAGTCGGGGTCTAAGCTCTGGGGTCCGCTGAGGTGGCGCTCCTCGGCCTGAGCCTTCTGAGACTGGATGGCCAAGTCAACCAGTGTGAAGATCTCATTGCCTTGTTTTGTCTCGAAGGTAAAGTTGCCAGGGCCGGAGTCGCAGCGGCGTCCCGCTTCAAAAGAAAACATCACCTGGGGAAAGAAAAGACCAAATGGAGTCAGATTTATTATGCTTTCTTGAACAGGTTATGACACACGGGTGATACGAAACATGTTAACTAAATTTTTTGTACAAAATTATTCTTAGATAACAAGATTTCAGCTTTTGAGCTCCTTTCACAATGAGCTGTTACAGGGCGCCTTGTCAATTTAAACTTAAATAAGCTGCTGCTGACCACGCTCCCTAACTCAGTGTTTACACTTGCATGTAAAAATGGCTGCAAAACAGATGCGTCAATTATACATCTGATTGCAGCCAAACATCTTTGAAAAACAGAAGTGGAGCATCCTGCACAAACAACAATATTAGAGCAAGTGACTTCTCGATGGTAAGTCAATAACAAAGCAGTTCTCTTTTCCAGCAGCCGCTGTGCAGTAAATACAGCAGTAAAACCAGCTTATCGAGTGTGCTGGAGCTCCTCTGGGGTTGCTAAGCAACGCCACGGTGCTGATCGTGACTTCACAATTGGTAAGTTTTTGAAACGGCTCATTTTCCACGCACCAGTTGTTGCTATGTAGAGGCTAAACTTTAAATACAAAGAGAAGCAGGTGTATAAAAATGAAGTCAGAGGAAGAACAGAAGTAGAAAGTTCTTAAAAAGAAAACAATGTGGCATGGAGGTATCTGAAGTTTCTTAAGGCTGCAGAAAAGCGAGAGAAAGCAAGACTTTCATTAGATAACAGAGATGTTTAATGGAGTTCAACAAAGTTGATGTTTGATCCTTCAAACAAACTTATTCACATGTGATTTTAACCAAATTTCTTATTAAATGGAATTGTGAAATCATGTTTTTTGACATTAGTGGAATACTGACAAAGTTTTGCCACATTTGCAGTGGAAACACAGCTTCTGTCCTGCATGTTTTTGGCATTTCCTGGCTTCCGTATAGCCAACTTAAATGAACTGATGCCCTCCTCGGGTGAGAATACATGTGAATTAGGTTTGATGGAGTAGGGACAAATTTGAAACATAAGGATCACTACTCTTAAATTTACACATGAGCACTGCTGTTTTAATAGACATAATCATGCTAATCATTAATATAAGATACTGATGACTCATGCACATGGTGTAGCATCACATCTGCCACTGATATAAATAATTAACGGCTGCCCATAGCAAGATGGCCTGTAAAACTTTCCCATGCTGTAACTCTTAAAGTGAGCTACAAATTGGCTAAAATTGGTATCGGCAGGTCAACAGAAACTATGTACAGACAAACCAAACTACCAGCTTTAAAGGTCATCTGTCAGTTTTAGATCACATATTCTATCTTGAAACGACAATGTGACAGAAACGACCACAAACAGGGGGTGCTAAATATAATCTGACCACATCTGTGCTATTTATGCTTCCTCCTCATGATCACTGTTGCAGCCAACAAGCTTCCTCTAAAAGTTTTCTGATGTTTTTGTTTGTTTTGCTCAGTTTGTTTGGTCAGGCACTCACCCGGTCCCTGCCGTATCTCCTCAGGAGCTTGTAGGGCCACACCAGGATGTTCCTTTTCGTCTTGGGCTCCTTCAAAATCAGCGCTTCGTTTTCTGCTTTCAGCCAGTAGCTCCCTGCGAGACCGCAACGTTCAGACGCCTCGGTGCGTTGAACCGTCACCCAGAACTCATTCACTGTCAGGAGATAACGTCCATTAGGGATCATTCTGGAGTTTCCAACCACAAGTCGTAAGGCTACACTGATCAACGTCCTCACCCTCGTCCCTGGAGTAGTAGATGAGGTTCTCAGACATCTGCAGGTCCTGGGGTCCTCCATTACAGTCCGTCAGGCTGCTGCCAGTCCCTCCCTGTTGCTCAACCAGAGAGAAAATATCATGTTAGTTATCTTATTACTCCACATTGCCACAAAGGAGTAAGCTGTTTTACTTCATCTTGTTTACTCCACAGTGTGGATGAAAATATGCCAAGGATATCCACTGGGCATTCAAGGGTTCCTTCACACCAGCCCTGTGTAGGTCGCTGTAATCGTTTGCCTAGAAAGTTTGGTTCATCTGGGGAGGTGTGAACTCTAATCCGGACCAAAAAAGCAAACTCTGGTCCACCTAAAAGCCTAGATCTTGGTTTAGTTGAAGTAAACTCTGTTGCGATTCGAATGCCTCAAAAGCAGGAAGCAGACTACAGCGCAGGGTATTCTGGGTCAATACAACCAAAACAAAACTTACGAGTCTCAAGCTGGTGGGAGAAATGACTTGTGGTCTTTTACCAAAGACCAAAGAGAAATCTTACAACCGCTAAAATCTGACAACACTCCATTTTTGTTTACATTTTGTGAAGAAGGAAGTTGAGCTCACGTCTTCTTCAAAGGTTTTTGTGTCGGGTCCTTCAGTGGTTCTTGGTGCAGCGCCAAGAAGAGAGGGAACAGGTTTTTCCAAAGAGTTTGGGCCGTTTCACACAGAAAGCGAAACGTGCCAGTTGAAAATGTAATATTGGTCCTAATCGAACCAAATCTACTGGACTGGAAAACAAAGTAAGTGTGGGCAACACACCCAATAAGAGTTTCCAGTAATTCATATTAAACTAATTTTCTGTCTGTGTTTGATCGCAGTAAGGATCAGAGACTAGAGAACAGGGGAGACATCAAACAGAGCAAACACATGCAAAGGAAGCCCTAAAAAACATTTCCACCCACGTCTTAGTCACCCGGTGCACGCCCCTATTTCCTTTAGCAACCAAACGAGTGAACTGGTCATCCTGTTTTCAACAAAAGGTGAGAGCAGAACGGTAAAAATACCTGAAAAGCAATGTCACACATGGTGTCCATCCAGTCCTTCGCAGTGTTCTTCTCTGCCGCAAACACGTGCGTCTTGTCATTTGTTTCCACGCAGAAAGCCGCCATGTTGTCTTTGGGGCAGCTCTCGGTCAGAGCAGGCAGAATGGAGATGCACTCAGACAGACGGATGATCTTCTTGTCCAGCTTCCTGGTTTTCTCGTTGGAGCCGCTTACCGAGCTCCCGCCGGACCCGCCTCCGCCTGAGGGAGAGTCGAAGAACTCCAGGCGGGCGATGCCGTTCTGGCTGGCGGGGTAGAGGACGAACCAGTTTTTCTTCCATTTCTGATGGGTGGAAAACAAAGAAGGACTCGATGAAGAAAGTATTGAAACAATCCATGTGTCAAAGGAGAAGGAGGCACTGTTGGAGTCCAGTCATTGTCTAAAATGTGCCAATGATCTGGTGTATGGTAGGAGATATTATCTGCCATCAGGACGGCACTCAGTTTTGTTTCATCAGGGGTAAAATGTTTATTTTTTTTAATTATGTGGCATTAACAGTCTCCAAACCAAAATGAGTTGCAAAACATATTTTAAATTCAAAGTCAACAAAAAAATAGGGCCGTGAACCTTTAGTATTTGTGAGAATTAGCAAACAACAACCACCTGTGAAAAACCGAAACCCTCAAATACGTAAGACCTCCTCCAAAAACACTTACAAATACTTTTTTTAATTGTTCAAACACCAAAAATACATTAATATGCATTAATACAGCGAAAGAAGACTTAGTGCTAGGCCAGAAGCTAACGTCTGTGGTGTTTCTATTCTTCACTCTTTGGATGTGATAAAAATGCCAAAAGTGTCACGTTACACAAGAAAATTCCCTCGTGCCGTCCCAGTCGGGACAAATGCGCCATATGCAAAGCTAAAATTTGTATCTCTGTCTATGACGAAATATCTCAGACACAAAAAAGGAAAAGAGACGGTACGGGTTAAGACTGTAAGGCCAAAAGCATAACATTTATCTCTGAATTGCTTAATACTGCAGTTTGTCGTTGCACTTCCCTCACAAAATGCAAATGTTGATTTAACTTTGTCACCGTCACTAACCCAGTGAACGAAGGAGAGGAACCAGCTTTTTGTTGAGTCACTTACAGATATTCTGTTTGTGCAAAATAATTTCACTTCTTGCAAAGAGTTTAATGTTTATTTGGCAGTTTTTGGGTGAAGAGCAGGGAGGATAAAGAAGAAATTAAAGACTAAGGTGAACACTTTTTTGTTTATTATAAAAGGTCTAATTTTATTACCATATTCAAAAGAAAATATTATTAATTTACACAAAATATCATTTCGTATTTTTATTTAATCCAATATGACTCGAAAGGACAGGATTTATTTTTGCTAAATGTTAGTTTTCTAATACAGAAGAGGTATTTATTTTATTGTTATTTAATTACAGAGATTATAATTTGTATAACACTTAACTGGGAAAACCTTTTCAAGTGTCGCTGCTCTTAGGTAGTATTCAAAATGCAAGAGGATCTCATATCCACTAATTAGTCCTCTCTATGTTAAAAACGGTAAAACATGCACTTTTTCTCTACAATTGACATTTTTTATCTGTAAATGCTGATGCAACATAACACTTCATTTTTTTTGCTTCATCTGTCCAAACAATGGAAAACCAGGGCTTTCTGCAAGCTGGGTTACTTTAAACCAAAACTGAAACTTTCGGATCGCATTGTAAAAACTCGAAGGATGTGAGCAGAGGCAGTTGGTAAAGTCAGAAATCGTCTTCACTCAGAGATAACGGGTTGGCAACATAATGTAGGTTAGACCACAAACAATGGGGGATGAAAACTTCAGTTTATTCTGAATATATCCGTCTGAGTGATAAGCGGGCCTTTCGTTTGCTGCCTGAGGCTTAATGTAGGAGGCGTGTGGTGATAAATCAGATGTAACTCGGCATTTCTTTTTGCACGTTGACAGTTGTTTGAATCAGCAGACAGAGACCACTCTCAGAATTAGTCATTCTGTACTCCGCAATTCACTTCCTAAAATTCAAAACTGGCTTTAATCTGGAAGTTTGAAGCAGCTGGAAATCATAACGACATTTATGTTGTTTAAGACAGCCAAATGATTCTACAGGGAACGATACTTCACAGCAACATACGAGGCTGATAAGACTGAATTTCTGTCAGAATGTAACAATTCAATCTTGAGTACATTAAATAATGTCACTGAACACCAATCCAGAACCGCACAGCATTCTGGGGGATGTAGGCAGAAAGGCTTTAGTTATTCAGCCTTTCAGAGTGAGTGAGTTAGTTGGTGGCATCAACTAACTCACTCACTCTGGTTACCTAGCGACTCACTCGCTCTTTGGTTACCTAGCAACGACCTGTTGAGCAGCAGTTTCAGGTGCCTCAAAACTGCTTAAAAATAAAAACATAAAATGAGTACAATAGTTCAAGAGGAAACTGTGGATTAAACAGGATAGGTCACACCATCAGATTGGGAGTATGTCAGATATTTAAACCAAAAGCTAATCAATAATTATCAATATCGACTGATATGAAACCCTTATATTATGGTATGTTTTTCAGCCATATTGTCCAGTCCTAAAAAATACGATTAACATTTAGATATGTTTTTTCTTTTATTAGTTTGGAAACTGTGTGCTTTTTGCTTACGTCCCATAAAAGAGAATGGATCCATCATCTTCATTTTCCCAGTTTTGTTTTTCTCTCTAACAGAAATAAAATGGTGATTCTTTCAAAATCACAGCAACATTTCCCACTGTAGATATTCAGTTCAGTTTCACTTTATTTTGGTAAACCATCAGCATTACACACAGAAAACAGGAATACTACTTTACAAACCCATAGTTTACCAAAACAGGAATGGACTGACGCTAAAGCTTATGCTTTAGTGTCAAACGTTATTGTCCTTTTTCAAAGGATCAATTGGTCTTATTTAGATGGAGTGAAGTTAAAATGGCTCTCGGGTCCAGAGATGGGTTTTCCAAGCCGAGTAGCTCCTGAACGAGTTAAAGACACGCCACAGTCAAAACCAGCTGAAAGCTTTATCTTTTTCAACCCGGAGGAAACAACAGCTAACAATGATCACTTCCTCCAAGGGGCCAAACAACAAGACACTCAACCCTGAACAATAACGCAGGTGGCAGGTGTTGGTTTGCACGTGTTTAGCGCCAACAATAGCCACGAAGACAAAGCATCACACTGATATACATGTCATTATGGTATAGCGGTATGACACAGCAGCTAAAGTAAATAAAATGGATTTTGGGGGGAAACCCCTGCTTAATCTAGCAGCAGTTTGCAGTCCCAACAGGCCATGCTTCATTGACTACATTAGTCACAGAGTTCAGGTTTGCCCCTACAGTTACTAACGCAGCAGGATGACAGTCAGAGAGAGAGAGAGAGGCAGAGAGAGAGAGAGGAGCTTGTGACAGGAAGGTCAGTGGGTTTTTTTAATAACCTTTTGACCAGCTGGGAAAATCCAGCAAAAAGAGAACCAAATGAAAAACAGCTGCAGATCCTCATATGAGCTCCAATCAGAGGGACGTTCCCTTTTCTCAACTGTCTGATAATGGCTAACAAAAAGGCTTCTGACCTTCATTGTGTCTCAAAGTGCTGTGTTTATTCTGGGTGATTACAGCCATATATGTGACTGAACTAAAATACTGTGAGAATACAGTCTAGTCTAGACATCAGGTCTAGTTATTCACACCTCTGCTTTCTGTCACGATGTCAGCTAGAAGCAAAGTTAAATGGGAATAGAAGTGAGCTGGTGTGAAATTGGCGGACCAGACTTCAGATTTATTCCCACCATTACCTCTGCGTACGTCTAGGCCTGTCGCAGTGATACATTATCCCAGTACTTATTGTGATAAATTATGATGTTGTTTCTAGTAATATATTAGTAGCGGCATAATAATGTAGGTTCACCCTCACCACGACTGATAAACTTTAATTTTGTAAAGAACCCGTGACACTGGAACTGGCAGATGATTTAAATACCCAAAATACAACACGGCAACCAAAAACTGTAAATAAAACGGAAATAAAAACTGCACAGAACGGAAACCATCAATAAAATGTATTATTACGTTTCTGCCCTTCAAAAAATAATCGATGACAAGAACGGAAATCATAGTTATTTGCTCCATCTCCTGCTGGGTCGGCCATTGTTAAAATCTCCCCGACCCGTCCTTTGAATTTGGACACACCCTTGGTCTTTACGAGGTTCTAAAATTATGTCTAACCTTAAGTATACTAAAACACATTCCAGAGACCGATTAAGTTACACAGAAAACAACTACATTAGATTATTTTAGCCTGAGGAGATTCTACAAGCTACCGAGTCACGTGTCTAAAATACCTTTTCCGTTTTGGCTTCTTTCTTGTGTTATAATTTCCAGGCATAGAAATACCCAATTATATCAGGCAGGAAATGTCAAGAGGTAAAATGGTTCAAGAGACCTTTTGTAAGACCATGATGTAGCAATAGCCCAACAGAAAGTTGGAATGAAAAGGTGCAAAGTCTGAAGAGAGACTGAGTTAAATGTGAATATTTACATCCTGACAGCAGGTTCTGGTGCTACATGAACTCTTCAAAGCGGTCATCTCTTCACTATCATTCATAGCATGAAAATAAGCATCATGTGAGTCGGTCTAATTACAGAATTGCGCTATTTGCATGGAGGCCCAGGTACGACTATAGCCACAGGGTGTTGGCGGCGAAATGCTTGATCTCAGGCTAATGTCGTATGACTTTGTTAATCTGATGCTATTGTTTTATTTTAATGCTTATGAACTTTCACCAAGTGAAACTGTCTGAGTTGAAGCCAAAGGTTAGCTGTCCTAAAAATGTTGCTATACAGTAATTACCTTTATAAAACCTATTTAGAAAGGTAAACAGAATTTATAATTACCTTTCTAAATTATATTTATAAAGCTAATTAGTTAAGATTTTGCAAAAAGACTCTTGTAGGACGTTGGTTGGAACTGCAGGTTGTAGTATTCAGAGAAATCCTCGAGTCCTTATCGGTATAAAAGGCAGATTTTTACTAGAGTTTTGGTTCCCTAAACACCAGGAATCCGAAAAATAACGGCTCCTCTTTGCGGCCGCAAAGCTGATTTGTCGGATTGTACCAAGACGTTAGCCGTCTTAAGAGGACATCCCTCCACTTTAAGGAGAATTACTTAATTTTATGAAAAGAAGCCACAGGGCTTGTTGCGCTGCGTTACATTACGCTACGTTACGTGGTGGTGTTTGATATTACATAGAGTTATGTTACATGACGTTACATTACATGATG